AATCATACTTTTAAGATGAGCATTAGCCAAATATTGAACATACATAAGATGAGTATAGCCTTATGTTACACTAACAAGCTTAAGTTTCATTGTTCACAAGGAATAGCTAAAGAAAGGACTGGAGGAACATACATCAGATGGTTCTCCGGAAAGCTCCTTGTCTGCCACAGCAGTAGCTTCAGAATAGTTTCCTTTGTCGACGAGCTTTCTCACAGTTGCCAGTGCCTCTGGAGCACTTGAATTTGTATAGTCCCTGGGAATGCCGGTCCAAAGTGTGTCCTCTACAAATCATAAACAAGTATTGATTTTGTTCAGTTTCAAATTTCAACATCAGAACCAAATTAATGTTGTTACTAAGACTCTTCATTCATACTCAAAAAACCTGAAGTCCCACCCCCCAAATATGACATCAAATTTGTACAATTCAAATTAAGCCGATATGTTATCCAAAGGAGTTAAGGGTAAGTCTGTGTATATTCGACCCCAACTAAGGCGAGAGCCTATTTAAAGTCATTTGTTACCCTGCCTATTTCATACTGATGTCTAACAACATAAGATCTGGAGGGCATATATACAACACAAATGACAAAGGAATTACTATGTGTAACCATTGTTAGTACTCAATCCAGCATAGCAAAAACTTGGGAATTTGGGATGCATAACATAGACAAAGAATCAAACTTGGAGATGGGTAAATGATTCTAGTTTTCCCCTTAGGAAGCAAGTTTATCCTGAAATCATTTACCTAATAATATATTCTCCGTCTCTTAAAGATTGCCTCGAATCTTTTTTTACTTTAGTCAACATGATCCGGTGTTACTTTTATTTCTACCTCAATGCAAAAAGATAAAACTACCTCCCAACTCAATACAACTCTTAAAAAATGTGGGACGAACATTAAGAAACGGAGATAGAAATATCAAGCATATAATAATACACAAAAACAACAAATTCAATTATTCATCCTTGAGCAAATCAAGGAATTGGGCCATTGGATTGATAAATCTTGGTCAGGTACATATTCAGAGACAAAATGCAGCTACATTCAGAGATAGTTGCAATTATTTTTTGGCTTGTTTTGTGACATAAAGTATCTACTAGTACAATAATTAATTATATCTATGCCGTATCTATGACACCACCCACTAATGGATTTTAATAATGTAATTAATTTATAATTAATTTTATAACATAATAATACTTCATATTCCTTCAACATAGAATCACCTGATAGTAGTTCCAAAATGAAGAAGATGAAACTCCAATCTTGTAGACAAAAATACACACATTTTTTTTAAGTCACAATGCTAGATCTTACCACTTAAACACACTTATTAAACCCCCATTGCACAAATTAATACTCAATATACCACATTTCTATTTATGCACGTTCCAAAATAATAAGTCACTTTCTAATTTACGGAATTTACCCAATAAGTCAAAATAGTTAAGAATCTACAATCTATGTGTTACAACCGGTTAAACCAACCCGACTTCAAATCAAATGTGGCGTATTATTTAGAAACAAAAGCACAACTTTATCAAACCCAAATGCAAGTACAAGAAAATAAGAGTGAAGTAAAACATAACATACCATTGAGATTAATAACCTCAGAAATAATCCCACCATGAATCATAGCTCCAAGACGACCATTACCAATAGGAAGAGCATCAGTCCAATTCCTAGCACCATCTTTAAACATAATCTTAAGAGGCCTAATTTCTTCATTTTCCAACAATAATCTTCTAGTTGGTTTCCAAAATTTACTATCTTTAGGCTTTTCATGTTGAAGAAATGTAGCAAAAGAACCCAAAAAAAGAAGAGAAAAACAAAGGGAAAAGAGAAGAAAAGAGGGAAAATGAAAAGGGTCCATGTGTAGGTATGAAAAAGTGGGTGGGTCTTGTTGATTTTATGGCATTTTTGGCGTAATTTAATTGGGTTTTGAGAAAATAAGGGGTATTTATTATTGTTCAGAAACCGACAGTGCATGGGACTATGGCCCTCTGGCTGTTGCTTATTGCTGTATTGGTTGGTGCTTGTGATGAGAGATTGACTGTACTCTCTGTTTTTTACTCCATCCCGTCTCTTAACGATAGCCTCATATTTTTACTCTATGCCGTCTCTTAATGATTGTCTCATGTTTACTCTTTGATTTATCATATGGGATTTATCTCATTTTATTTTTATCTACACATCCGATACAATTCTTAATAAAGCGAAAGAAGGAAAAATGCTTTTGATTGAAAGAGAGACAAGAAATATATACATTTAAGGATAGAGATTTCTTTGATTAAGGACAGTAAGATAATGTTTGCTTAGTTGTAATTTGGCTAAGTGTCCTATCTTATCTAGTTATCTTTGTATCATATCTTCCTTAGTTGTAAATTATTGTTGCATATAGATTGATTGCTTTCCATAAATATTATTCTTTACCTAGAAAATTGATCCTTTTTAAGCAAATGATTATCCTCCAATTTGCAAGGATTAGGACACTTTGTAATGTATCCTCCTTGCAATATTAAAAGTGTCTTTGTGAACAATAATTTCTTAAGCTTCCAACATTATCATTATCACATATGGAGACATGGAGTATATACACAAAAGTATAGTCCTTTCTTTTATTTCCTTGATATGATTAATAAGACTGTGTAAAAAATTTCAAAATATTAGACCTACACACATATGTAGATTGTTTCACATTGAAAAAATATGAGATAATTAAAACATATAGTTGCATATAAGACGCATTGTTCTTTTATAGATACTGATTAGAGAGACGTGGCACAAAGGAAGATACTAAATGTTTTGCTTTATGTCTGTTTCTTTCCCCTCACTTTTCAGCAAAAGTAATGTCTTCTAATTTAAATTTGACTCTTTCTCCAGTACTTAAGACTTGCGAGATCTTTTATCAAGGAGTATCTAATTATTTTAAGTTATTCCATAGGAAATCAAACATGCATAGATAATTGTCATTTGATTAATCATAAACTATGAAGTAGGAGTACTTTGTATACAAGTTATTAATTGTGAAGTGTATATTACTCATAACAAATAAAAACGTGAATGTCAAATTAATGTTTGTTTTGAGAGATGAAAAAGGTATCAATTTGGACTGAATTATAAAAAATAAATAAATAAACTCCTAGAATTGATATGAATTAGTGAATTACAGTATATTTTTCATATAAAAAATACAACAAATACTCCGTATTACCAAGTAAATACTAAATAGTAGTCATATCCCGTCTATATCAATTACCCCTTACCACCAATTTAAAAATATGATTGGATATTCATTTTGTATTTTTAAACTTTACAAACATATCATGTTAAATCGTTTACCCTTTATAACAATTCAATCTCCTTTTATACTTGGATATAATTAAATTACGATGCTACTTGCAAGCGTAGCAGTAGATCAACTTTACTTACAAAGAAAAAATAATCATAAAAAAATATATATAGACCCTACTTACTTTAATTGATTGTAATACTATGTTTCTTATCTGATTTCTATTCATGTTATAATATTATGTTCCTTATCTATTAGGGCACCTTCAATATTCAATCAAAAATAAGTAGGTCCTTTGAAGATTATTAGAACTTAGAATGAAGTTACAACTTACAAGTACTATGAAATTAAAGAAGCTGACCACCGGCACAACAATGTATTAGCTGGACCTCCAATTGATCGATAATACTAATGTTAGAATGTGACGTTGTGTTCTTATGTCAACCATGTTTAATTGTCCAAAGTTTGAGTAATTTCTGCGAAACCAAATCACTAAAGCTACATTATTACGCGTTTATGCATGTTATACATACCCGCATCAAACATATGTGATATATGCGTCACATAACCTTATATGGATACGTACTAATAGTTGTTCATCCGTAAGAGTATTAGTGGAAATATCCCTGAAATGACTGAAATCGATTAGATCATATGTATGCTTGAGCAAGCTGTATGAATACGAGTGAGATTTGATATTATATCAAACATGGTTGATTAATATTACTAACATGAGCTGTTTTCTTCAATTACGCAACCACTAACTACTTAACATTCACTGACCTACAAAGAATTCTCTAATATAACTTGGCCAAAACGAACTTTGACGTATCTTTACATGCAGATCTCACGCATGTGAGCTTCTTCAATTGTTTGATTTTGTAGCATGTGGACAACAATTCTCCTCATCCTTTTGTCATTGCTTGATTCTAGAAGTGCAATATCAAATACAATCAATTCATTCAAGATCTATAGTCATATACTATGGTCTTGTTTAGTTCACCAGTTTCACCTTATTTTTACTTATTTCAGATCAGATTAAAAAGATAAGTTCAGATAAGAACAAAAAAAAATAAGTGTTACGAAGTACAACTTTTGTGTTTGGCTGGCCACACCGTATGGCCAGCTAAGACACGAGTAACCCCTGACCAGGTATTCTCTAACTGATCGAGTAACCCCTGACTACGTAACCCTTGACTAAGTAACCCATGACCGACCAACTAACCCTTGACCGATCGAATAACCCCTGACCAAGTAATCCCTGACTGATCGAGTAACCTTTGATCGAGTGAGTAATCCCTAACTGACTAAGTAACCCCGGACCAAGTAACCCCGAATATATTCTTTCAAAAAAAAAATGTGGCTGGTAGGCTAGCCACATATGAAAGTTTGTGTACGAAGCAGTCCGTCTCGTGTGTGGTTGACCGCACCGTGTGGCTACTTATAAAAGAACAAAGTAACCCCTATAACACCAATTAAGTAACCCCTAACAAGTAACCCCTATAACACTGACTACGGAACCCTATATATATAACACTGATGAGTCTTGATATAAGTTTTTTGTAGGAAGGTTTTACTATTCTTAAACAAATTGTTAGATCTTCTTACCGAGCTAAAAAGCAATAACAAATTTTATAAAGTCGTGCAAGGTGACTAGGTTAGTAACTCTAACACACATATTTAACATCAAGTAACGAACATCTGATTCAATTAACTTGTATGTGATAAAGCAACACACAAACATGGCAGATTGACTGCCCATGTAGATTAGTAGATTAAATTACTATCATTCTACGTAATGTGTATTGTGAAGATTTTTTACAAGCAAACCAAATTAGCGCTATCTACATGAACTTGCATAAACCCTAAAACGCTTCCCTCTGCAAAAAGACTCTGACTACAAATACATTTTTCTGCAAAAATCAGAGGGTCAATGGCAGAAGCAGTTTCAGGTACTTGAATGATCAAAGCAGAACACTAAGATGAGCAAGTATGTTGAGCTCTCCTCATTTTCTATATAATTTCTATATCTATTGCTCCATCATTCTCCGCCTTCATGGCATATGATTCATCTACAGGAGGCATATTATCTAACTCATACAAGGGTTGAACTCTACTATTTATATCATCTAGCTCTGCTTGAACTGAAGCTACCTCTGATCTTAGCTCTGACCTTTCTACCTCCCACAAAGCTCTTTCATTTTCTCGCCGAGACTGAACATATGCTATTCTCTTATGCAGCCGAATACACTCATTCCGAAGAAAACTAAGTTCTGTTCTACTTCTTTCTATACTAGCTGATAACTCATCAGACCAATGAAAATATTCACATTGCTGCAATAAAGTCAAAAAGAAAGCTACGATTATGAATTGATAAATAAATTTCTTCAAAAGAATTGAACACTTAGGGTTGAGATATAGAGCACATACATGATGAAACACATTCTTGGGGCAGTTATAGAATAATCTATAGGGATTCCTCAAAGTTTTTGACATCCTCAATTTGGCTGGAAGCCCACAGCAACAGTGCAGCTCAGAATTTTCACTAGTTGGCCTTGCACCCTCAGAGGTACTGATCTCATGCAAATCTTGGATCCTACGATGTTTTGTCCATCTGTGAGATCATGAAACAACATTTGGAAACCAGAATCAAAATAAAATGAAGTGCTAACAAAGTCAATTAATATTACATCCAAATGATCCCGAAATAAGATAACGTCCACTATTTTTTTTGAAAAAATATGTTTTTATAATAAAGTCATATTCCCCTTTTCTGGAGAATTTGTCTTAGGAACACCCCATCAAATCTACCTTCAAGTAGCCTACTATAATTTACCAAGGCACAAATGCAAGGATAGCTTCAACCTTTCAAATGACAACATGCCAGAGCTTACTCATATGTGATTTAGCAGACACGCGGTATTGTGAAGACGGTCAAAATTAGTTTCAATGTGAATAGCACAAGGAGAAGCATTTTCTATCGTTAAATAATTTGTTTGTCAGTAAATGATATCAACTTTCCAAAGCTTCATAGCAAGATTATTGGGGAACAGCTCTACTAAGTGTTTAATGGGTCTTCTTAGCAAGATTTTGGATTGCTTCTGAGGTTGGAGTTGATTAGTGAGAAGCTATGTTACTCGGACTCTTTCATTTACCTCACGTGTCCGTGTCGACACGACTCGTGTCGGACACCGACACCGACACTTGGACACTTCAATTTTAACTAAAAACACAGTTTTTTTCAAGAAAATGGGCGAGTCCGATACTTGGACACCCGTGTCTAATTGGACACTTCATCCGAGTCCAAGTAACATAGGTGAGAAGTGTAGCTTCTTAGATAAGTATAGCAGCTGGTTGATCTCATCTGGTTTTACACTTGGAAAAATGAGCAAGACAAAACAGACAGTTTAATTTCTTTATGACTGCTAGACACATGATGTTTTACGTGGCAATAAAATGTAAGCAGTAAAACTCCAACAGGCGGCTTCATGTTTATTTATTTTTTTCTGAACAAGTACACACGGACCCTCTAATTTAGGTGCATTGCACAGGTTATATATATATACTATTAATATTATAAATATGAAATCAACTATATTTACACCTAATAAATTTTATACGTAGTAAATTTATCTTCTTTTTTTTTTTATGCAAATGACATTTTTTAATGCAAGTGACCTTATACAATTATATTTCAACTAATTGATATAATATCAAAAAATATAATTACAGTAATCACCTAAGATTTTGCAATGCCAATCTTTGAGATATTTCCATTAGGCATGTGATTTAAGGATTGTGGTAAAAGTTTGAAGGGGTAATTTTCTGCTGTGGTGCTGTTGTGATCAATAAAATGGAGATACTGCTTCAATTGTGTGTTTTACTGTTAATTGTGTGATAATTGCATGTTGCTGGTCTATATGCTTTTATTAAGAAAATTTAATCATTAAAGTCCATCCTAATATGTTGCAGACAAGATGGGTTTATATGGATTCTAATGTATTCAATCTTGTCTGCATACAATACGATGTTTAGGGGAATTTGAAGTTGGCGCTTGTAAATGGGGTTTGAAGGAAATCTTGGCTTGCCAAAGCTTAGGTGATCTAATACTATTATTTCATTAACTGTAATATGTAAATAACTGAGTTCGGTCACCCAGCAAAGCCAATGTAACAACAATGGTTTCTGATTTTAACTAGCAAATTAATAAAGAAGAAAGCTTTTAGATTGCTTGATAATGGTGGAAGGGTTACAAAGGATAATGTAATAGCTTAAGGCTATCAATCTTCGATAGTGAGTTTAGCTCACCACTCTCCAATAATAGCTTTAGGCCATAACTCTCCAAAGGTTTACACCAAATTTCTGCCTACTTATTTCCTTCCCTTCCCTCTCTATTTATACTAAGGACTATTAACCTTAATGAACTAATATTACTAAAATACATATACTACCCCGCCAAGCTAGTCTATTACATAATATTAATACGTTGAAATATAATTATATAAAGTCATTTGCATAAAAAAAAAATACACTCCAATGCGAGCATAAGGCAGCATAATCATTCATGCCAATTCACATGTTTGACTTAGGTGCTTCACATGTTCAACTTAGGTGCTGCACGCATTTGGAATTTTTACTTTGCTAGCGTTAGCTTGGAAAATTTTTCTTCTTTATTTACAGGAGATAAAGGAATCTCAAATCAAACCACATACAAGTTCCTCAAAAATTATTTTTAATGTGAGTGAAGCTTACAAATGAATTTAGAGCTCCTCTGAATTTAAAAGTTTGGCAAGTGAAGCAAAAAGTCAAATAATTATGAAAGTAATTTATATGGAGGGTTATCTTTAAAGTCTTAAGCAAATCCAAACATGTATCAGTGATAATTATTGTCAAAGCAACAAAATTAAGGCTGTAATGAAAACCTTGTACCTTATCCAGGCATGCCTCCAAAGAAAAGTTGCAACTGCAATTCCGACCACCGCAGTGGCAGAGTACTTGGAAAGCCAACCTCCTTGATGATCCTGTACCAATGTCAATCAGAAAATTCAGCTTACAACAAAAACTAGAGATGACAGTAAAATCTACAAAAAGGAAAATTAAGAAAACAGAAAGAGAAAATATGATGAATAAAATTAATATGAATGCCAAAATGGTCAATCCTTCGGATATCCAAGATTTCACAATTCGATAATACATGGGAAGGATAGTTGCATTAAAATTCTTGAATCTTATTCTTTATAATAGATAAGAACAGTATGATGCCTCGGCCTAATATGGGAGTCAGATGCCAAAATTGTGAGGAATGTCAGGAAACATAATAAACAGTAAACTTGATCTTTCCTTCGAATATGGGGGTTTTTAGGGAGCGAGGAGAGGTTTCATAGAATGGGTTATAGACTAATAGTTGCTGGTTCATTTATCTTAAATATACTATAGACAGCAATTTTGACTTTTTGAGCACTATGAAATTTATCCTTGTGTAACAGCGGCGATTATTATTCAGAATGTTACGACTGTTTGAACAACCATCAGACTGCAAATCGCCATGACATTACATGGATAGAGTGCTAGACCCAGCCTAATGACTCAACTCATCACGTCAATGGCAAAAACTGTCCCTCACCATCTTCATATTTGGTGTCATAAGTTGTCTTGGATTACCTTTGGGAGAAGCACCATGCCATTTTCTTCACCCCTAATTCAACCCGTCACCACAGTATCAATACCAGCTTCCATGTCTCTGAATAATCACTATGACTCAAGAGCCAGATCTGCATCAACGTAACCTAGCATACTAGACTTCAAGGCATTGCCCACTGTCTCTAGTCTCTACAACCAAAAATATACCATCTGAAGAGATTGTCAGCTAAGCTTACTACAATCAGTTGCTATTCTTGTACTCGGTTCCTTTTGCACCTCTTAACTTCCACCAAGCAAACAATTGCAAACTAATGAAATCCAGCAATTCTATATCAGCTTAAATAACCAAAAACATACTCACAAACACAATCATAGCAAGCAGTGTACAATGTACGATAAGATTAATTATGTGAATTAGGGTAGATTTGACCGCTACTATTTACAATTCACAATTACAAATTTACACAAAAACTAGCTCAATTCAAACACACATTAATTAAGCTCACGACTAGAGCAATGCAGCAAACAATTCACGTACATCAAGGTCTTTCACAAATTAACGACAATGTGGAGAAATTTAGCAAACAAATTTCACAACAATTCCCAAATGCTGCATTATGGTTCTTCGTTACAGTGCAATTGAATTAAAAAAAAAAAAAAAAAAAAAAAGCAAATTTAATAATTGAATTGGTTATATGTACATGAAAAACTTCAATTTTTTAATGCCATATTAAATTAATCCAAGCTTGCAAACAAATAATCAAATATAAACAAGATCTTTTATCGATTAAAATACATTTTTTGTAATTTTGCTTAACAAATTAAGGGGAAAAGAGGAACCTTGAGAGAGAAAATTATCTGTATCGACTAACCTGGGCGTTAAAAACGGCGAGAGAAGACGAAATTTTGGTCCGAAAAGCGGAAATGAAGAGCAACATCGAAGTTGAGCATTCCCAGAAAGCATTGAAAATTGATATTACAACAATGTCGCTTGAATTTGATAAATTTCATGCCCAAATTGGGGGAAATAGTGCATATTAGGTTGAATTTGATTCCCGTCTGAAAAAAAAAAGGTTGAATTTGATTAAATTTAAGCAAGAACTAATGTTTAGCCCGTGCGATGCCTCGGGTCCATGTGTTAAATAGTGATTACTTCAAATTATAGTTTTTTTGTATTATAATAATTTTTTTTTTAAATAAATGTATTATAATAATTTTAAATACTTTTATTATAAATTTAGTTGAAGAAAATTATTTGTACAAAAAAAAAAAAAAACAACTCATGACGTGGCATCTTATTGGTGTGATTTCCCCTCCTCGAAAACACTTCCCCCCACCCACGAATAACCCTAAAAAACCCTCCCCTCCCCTTAAAACCGTCGACCGCCCCTCCCCCCACCCTCGAAACCAAGTTGAAAGTAGCTTATTATACGGATTTAGGTTAAATTCTCTCTACACTTTGGATACTATTGCAGAATTGATTGAGAGAGAAACCACTGTAAAGCAACGGCAGGAAGGCAGGAAATGAATGGTGGTTTGATTGATCCATTGTTGGTTAATGCTCGTTGATTGTATGGACTCAAATGAGTTGCTGACAATAACTTTAGAGGATTTAGAGGCATGCCTTCAATCTCTGTTGCAATGAGCGGTCTAGACCAAACTAAGGAGGGATTATCCATAGCTAAGAAGCTTAAGTTACGAATAGTTAAGGGCATATAGGGATCATGATCAGTCTTTCGGTGTTCATCAATTTTGTAATATTTGATTTATGAAGTACAAATTTATACGAAGTATGTAGTATAGTTGATTGTAAGATTAATACTTATATAATGTACTGATAATTTTGTAATAAATCAAGTTTTTGTATGAATGAAGGAATTATTGATTCTTTTGCACTGTCCCTCACTCCGTCCCAAGCAATTAATTTTGGAAGTTTAATGAATGAGCCTTAGCCACAACACAATGTAAAAGAATAGATCTCCTTACACCTTAGTTTAGCATGTCGTGTCACAAATCTCACAATATAAAGCTTCAAAGAACCAGTGTTAGTTTTATTTTTTGATAGGGAGAGTAACTAATATGTCATAGATATACAACTATACAAGTAAGTGAAATAAGCTATAGGAGTTATATTATACAATTTCCATAATCGAATTATTTCAGTTTAGATTGGATTGAATTAAATTGAATTCAAATTCGGTTTAGATTCGATTTTAATAATCCAAAAGGCATGGGTTAGCTTCTATAAAATTAAATTTGATAGGCAAAGTTTATGAATTTTGGTCAGAAGTACAATATTAATATAAGAGCTTGTTCATATTTAATGGATTGAGCTGAACTAAACTAAACGGAACTTAACTGATTGGAGCTGAACTGAACTGAGCTGAAATGAATATTTTATGAAAGAAGGAAATTAAAAGCTGAACTGAATTGAACTGATTGAAGCTGAACTGAACTGAAATTAAGCTGAAGTGAACAGGCCATAAGAGTGTACTTGATATATTGTATTCATAAATAATAAAAATTGATTACATTTTATAAAACCACAACATATCAAAACTATGTAACTATTACCGATGCCAAAACAATTAGCTAATGAGTAACTTGGGAACCGCGCGCCCGATCACGCGGTTCCACAACTAGTAGTAATACTCCCTCCGTCCCCTTTTGATAGTCCCTTATGGGTTAATTTTAGTCCCAAAATGTTCACACCATATTGTAGTTTTCATACCACCTATGAGTTGTCGTTCTCGTTCATCCACTACTTGTACTTGTGTAAGAGATGTCGGACTGTGTAGCTTCAGCTTGGATAAATATGTTGCAATGTTTGATGGAAGATACCTCACTACTACTCCAATCCTGCCAAACAAATAAAGATATAATGGCATGTCTGGTTCTTATATCATATGTAGTTGCCCATCAGTCATCACATTGCTCATAGACTAAAAAAGTGCCAGGAAAAGATCCCTAGTTTATTTGTCAACATTGGAATATTTGACAATAGTAAAAGATACAGCATATTAGACCATTATCAGCAATGAGGAGAAAACAAACCCCTCAATCTCTCTCTACCCACTTTCTCTCTCTTCCCATCCAATTCCTCTCATGAGAGGTTTTTTTTTCTACACCAATGCTCTAAAAAAAAAACTCCTCATCACTTTATCCTCCACTATTTACTATACCCCACCATAAATACACATCACCTTTTTTTTATCCTTTTTTTTTGAATAATGTTTATACTACATATTTAACTTTCCAATACAATTAAAAATATGTAATTTTTTTTTTCATTACATTTTAATTGTAATGTAATATTTTTTAATAATTTTTTAATTATTTTGGTAAATTTTTAATTTTTTTGTTTTATATTTGTATTTATTTAATGACGGGTAAAATTAATAAAAAAAACATTTTCAATATAATTTTGAATTTTACGCTCTTATTAGAATATAATAATTAATAAAAATTACAGCAATTATAGATTGTACGAAAGATGTTTTCTTAAACTTAAACGATTACATAATAAGAAGCGTAAAATTTTTGAAATGAACACATAAACGGCAATACAAATACATCGGATATTAAATAACAGTACGTTTACGAACTTAATAAAAGCGGTTTGAGCTAAAATAATACACGAGGACGAGTATTAAAACGTAAACACGATACGATTACATTCTACAACTTTGCTTATTCGGTCGTATTATGACGAAAGTTCTGCCATATGTGTTCTACTAAATCTTGTTTGAGAGACGAATGAATTTCTCTATCACGAAGGGCAATCCTCCTCTGAAAATACGCGTTGAAATCTATGTTGGGCGGCCGCCCGACGTTGAATTCAAATGGCTCGTTGTTATTCACCGTGGCACTTGTGCTCGGTCCCGCCCGCGCTGCTGGACGTTGTGGTCGATCTTCTTCGTAGTATCGTCTCAAAACATCTGCCCGTGTGTAGTTGTGTCGTTCATCCTCGACGATCATGTTGTGCATTATTATACAGGCTTTCATAATGTCACAAAGAATATCTTCGTCGAAGGCCAGTGCAGGTTGTCGTAGTATAGCAAACCTAGCTTGTAAAACTCCGAAAGCCCGTTCAACGTCTTTCCGAACTGCTGCTTGTTGATCAGCAAACAACTTATCTTTTTGAACTTGAGGATGTGTAATACCTTGTATAAAAGTTGGCCATTTCGGATAAATCCCATCTGCCAAGTAGTAGGCCAACTCATATTGATGTCCGTTTACCCAAAAATTTATTGGTGGTGCACGACCTTGTAAAACATCATCAAACACCGGTGAACGGTAAAGGACATTAAGATCATTACATGAGCCAGGCATTCCAAAGAATGCATGCCAAATCCATAAATCCTGATCAGCAACGGCTTCAAGAATGAGGGTTGCAGTCTTGCTACGACCAGCATATTGTGCTTTCCAAGCCGTAGGACAATTCTTCCACTCCCAATGCATGCAGTCTATACTACCAATCATGCCTGGAAACCCACGCAATTCATTTTGATGAAGGATTCTCCTTAAATCTTCATCTGTAGGTTTACGTAGATATTCACTTTCAAATTGTGAAATAACCCCCTGACAAAAATGTTGCAATGCATTCCTTGAGGTTGTTTGGCCGATACGTAGATATTCATCCACGACATCGGGGGCTACGCCATACGCTAACATTCTTATTGCAGCGGTGCATTTCTGCAACGGTGATAAACCAAGCTTTCCAGCTGCATTCGGACGTTGTTGGAAGAATTGATCCCCTTCAACCACCTTATTCATAATGCGACAGAACAAAGATCTTCGCATACGAAATCTACGGCGGAATTGGTTGTCGTTATACACTGCATTACTCGCAAAATAATCGTTATATAGTTGTACATGCCCTTTTTCTCTTTCCCTATCCCTTTTAGGCTCCGGGACATTTGCTATATCATTATTAAGCTGGGATTCTTGTGATGAGTGTTGGGGAATTAAAATATGAGGTAGGTGGTTAGCAGCATAATCATCAACTAACCGATCAAATTCAACGTTATTTGAGACGTCAGAAGAACTAGAGCTTGAGGTGGAGGAAATGAAAGACATGTTTTGGTTATGGTTTGATAGTTGGTTTGTTTGGGATTCTTTCCGTTTTGAATAACACTTGCATGTATATATAGTCCAAGTGACTATCAATGCATGTGAGTTGCTCTGATTTTGCATGTGAGTAACTCTGAATTGAAATTCATGTATCATTGCAATCTCTGCAATGAAATTGATGTGTCATGCATGTATATATAGTCCATATGACACTTCAATGCAATCTCTGCAATGAAATTGATGTGTCGTTGCACTCTAAATTGCAATTGAATTATAGATGCATGTGATGTATGACACTTGAACAGTTGATTTGACTAATCAACATAAAGCTGTGGAGATTTTATTGGGAGATGTTTATTTGTCATTAACCATTACATGTGATTTTTATTAAAAACAAATTTCATAAAGTAAATAATTTACTGCATAATTAATGTTATAAAAAACATAATTCATTTCACATTAATGTAAATAAAAAGGAGTACATCTTAACATTAATTAAAATAAAAAGGACTACATTAAACATTAATTAAATAAAAAACAGTAGCAAACACATTAAGCTGATCTAAATTACATGTTCCTTCTACCATAGAGTAGTGCACGTAATTCTTCCTTGTAAGCCTCTTCATCAGGAGTTAGGTCCGGTCCCTTTGCCATTAGATCTTGCAGCATTTCGTAGTTAAGCCTTCTCTCTTGAATTTCGACTTGTTTTTGGTGAAGCTCTACTTGTTTTTGCTTCCTTCTTTCCCTTTCCATGTCGAAATCCATCTTCTTCAACCGCATTTGTGCCTCGATTTCCCTCGTAGCATTATTCTGCTTTAATTGCTCGGTAATGTTTGAGACGTCAACAACCACTCCTTTTCCCTTATTACGCCTGGACTTTGCCTTTTTAACGCCATCAGGTCGAGCAAGACCCCCAGAAGTGAAACCGGTAACGTGAACAACATCTTCATCATCAGTTCTACACCGCTTTTCACTTCCACTACTGTCATCCTCGACAGCATCACCGCAAGCTAATCTTTCCTCTCTTGACAACGCCCATCTCAGTTTTGTCCTCCACTTCGGGTCATTTTTAACCATTTCCCAACCATGGTGACAATTAAAATTATGTGGAGTAGGCTTGGAGGAAATATAGAATAACTTACTTGCATTATTAATTCGGTCTGCTTCGTTGTAACCACTTCCATTTGCCCTACCAGCTTCGTCATAGCAACTACTCCATTGTATTAAATCAGTTGCCATCCTTCTCCAACGGCTTTCCAAACTCCTCAAAGGTCTTGGCGGCAGGATGTGGGGTCTCTCAGCCTGTGCTTGATCATATGCTGCAGATATTTTTCGCCATAGCGCAGCTGCTTTTTGGCTTGTACCAACAATTGCATCCTCACTGAATTGAAGATACAAACCAATTAGAGCTTCATCCTCCGCAACAGACCACATTCGACTTCCTTTTGTTAGTGGTTGGTTTTGATTCACAGACACTCTTGAAGGAGGTGGAGAGTATTGAGGAGTGTCTGGAACATTTTCTTCCATTTCATCATCTAATTGAGAATCGGTGCCTTGATAAACAAGAGGTGAATGTGGTTCATAGGTAGTGTTTTGGAAAGGAGTTTGATGAGGTGTTTGTTGTGTTGAATTTTGCAAAGAATTGTTTCCAAGCCTTTGTAGGAAAAGCTGAAATCGAGGATTAGTGACAAAATCATCACCCAAATCAGAGAAATGATTAGAAAAATTAGGGTTATTAGGATCCATAAGTTAATAGAGTAGAAAAGTAATAAAGCTTTTTATTTTTGGAAAA